TTTTACCTTTTTGATATTGAGGTCTCGTCGAACTCTTTTTTTGTTGTTGTTCTGTAAACCTTTAATATAATATATTTCTTATTTATGAGGCGCCTGGGTGGCTCAGTCAGTTAAGTATCTGCCTTCAGCTCAGGTCGTGATCCCAGGGTCCTGGGATGGAGCCCAGACTCGGGCTCCCTGCCCCACAGGGGGTCTGCTTCCCCCCCCCTCGGCCTACTGCTTCGCCTGCTTGTGCTCTCTCTTTCCATCAAATAAATAAATAAAACCTTTAAATATATATATATATATATATATAATTTCTCATTTATTTTTAAATTTTTTATTTAAATTCAACTTAGTTGCCATATAGTGTATTATTAGTTTCAGGGGTAGAATTTAGCGATTCATCAGTTGCACGTGACACCCAGTGCTCATTCCATCACGTGCCTCCTTAATGCCCGTCACCCAGTTACCCCATCGCCCCTCCCCTCCAGTGTCACCCAGTTACCCCATCGCCCCTCCCCTCCAGCAACCCTCAGTTTGTTCTCTAGAGTTAAGAGTCTCTTATGGTTTGTCTCCCTCTGTTTTTATCCCTATTTTTCCTTCCCTTCCTCTCTATTCATCTGTTTTGTTTCTTAAATTCCACATATGAGTGAAATCATACGGTATCTGTCTTTCTCTGATGGACTTCTTTCCCTTAGCACGATACCCTCTAGCTCCTTCCATGTTGTTGCAAATGGCAAGATTTCATTCTTTTTGATGACCGAGTAATATTCCATCGTATATTTATACCACATCTTCTTTATCCCTTCACCAGCCGATGGACATCTGAGCTCTTTCCATAGTGTGGCTATTGGGGATATTGCTGCTATAAACATTGGGGTGCAGGTGCCCCTTTGGGTCACTATTTTTGTATCCTTTGGATAAATACCTAGCAGGCGAATTGCTGGGTCATAGGGCAGCTCTATTTTTAACTTTTTGACCAGCCTCCACGCTGTTTTCCAGAGTGGCTGCACCAGTTTGTATTCCCACCAACAGTGCAGGGGGGCCCCCCTTTCTCTGTATCCTTGCCAGCATCTGTCGTTTCCTGAGTTGTTCATTTTAGCTATTCTGACCAGCGCGAAGTGGTATCTCCTTGTGGTTTTGATGTATGTGTCCCCGATGCTGAGTGATGTTGAGCAGTTTTTCATGCGCCTGTTAGCTTTCGCACAGCAAAGGAAATAATCAACAAAACTAAAAGGTAATGGGAGGCGATATTTGCAAATGATAGAGCAGATAAAGGGCTACTATCCAAAATCTATAAAGAACTTATCAAACTCAATACCCCAAAAATAAAAAATCCTGTCAAGAAATGGGCAGAAGCAATGAACAGACATTTCTCCAAAGGAGATATATAAGTGGCTAATGGACACATGAAAAAATGCTCAGTATTTCTTTGCACTCTCAAAAATTATTGAGGATCTGGGGCGCTTGGGTGGCTCAGTTGGTTAAGCCTCTGACTCTTGATTTCAGCTCAGGTCGTGACCTCAGAGTCCTGAGATCCACGCTCAGTGGGGAGTCTGCTTGGAATCCTCCCCCTCTGCCCCTCCCCTCCTTGCACCTGCGTACACTCTGTCTCTCTCTCTCAAATAAATAAACAAATCTTTTTTAAAAAATTAGTGAGGATCCCAAATAAGCTTTTGTTTATTAGGACTGTATCTGTAAGCGTTTGAGATACTAGAAATGAAGACTGAGAAAAACACACAAATATCTCATTTATTTAATTGATTTTTAAATAACAATAATAAACCTATTTCACGTTAACATAAATAACATTTTTTTTATGAAACTACTTGTGAAACAAAATTTACCGAGCAGCAGGCATTGTTTTGTAGCTTTGCAAATCTCATTTATGTTGAGCTTAATAGATGCCAACTGGATTGTCGTATCTACTCTTGCATTCGGCCTGTTGGGATATATTATTGAAGTAGAAGGAAATCTGTCCTCCAGCATATATATAGTATTTCAATGGGCTTTTCCAAAAAATGGTGGATATTTTTCTTTCATAATACACCAAAACTGAATAAATGGTGGTGTGGAATCTGAAACCACACCGACGAGCATTTCATACTCTGTTACCTTAAAATATACTGGTGTAGTTTGCTCTTCATGGATCATGCATCGATCGTTTGGAAAATACCGGTTCACCAAACCACGCAGGTTTGCCAAAAGCTGGCATATTTTGTTACGCAATATCAAAAAAATACATTCATTAATACAACCACCAATCTCATCAGAAAGTTTTTTAAACATCGGAAGGTTGTCCAGCTCACGGTGGGAGACACTTTCCTCCCCATCTGCTCACACAAAGGGTGAGGGTCGTGTATGCGAGTGTCTGGATTTCACAAAATTAATAATGTTTACTGCTTCATAAAGACATTCTTAGGTGAAACCGGCTTTTTCCTTTCCCTGCAAAAGTGGTGCTGAAGAAAGAATAAACAGTGACGAGTAGGGCCCATTAGTGCCACTGTCTTGAGTCCAGCTCAGGTGCCAGCAGGTTTACTCACCGCTGCTTCCGCACGTCCCCGCGAATGTCCACAGACCAGAAGAGCAACCCAGCCTCCGAGTATCCTTATGAAGGTCCACGTGACCACCTGAAAGAGTCTTAGGGGCTCTTAGGGACACTTTGAGAAGTGCTCCCAAAACCTCAGGTCACGTAATCCAGTCAAGATAATATGTTCAATTTTTAAAAAGTCGGGTGTCCGCAAATGCCTACCATGTTTCGAGCACCCCGAGGTGCTGGGGGCCCAGAGGTAAACAGGCGCAGGTGGCTCCCCGTGCCTTAGGGCTTAATTTTATTTGAGGAGACAGACAATAGACCAATAAATAGTAAGACTATGAAAAGGCTATTAAAGGAAATAATTAAAGGAAATAATCCCTATAAGGTCCTGGAGGCTGGCCTGGGGGAGCAAGGAGTCCTCTGGGGTGAGGGGAGGTGATCCACCTAGGAAGGCCAGAGAATGAGGAAGGCCCATCTCTGCAAAGGGCCCGGGAAACAGCCTTGCAAGCACAGGACGCAGAACGTTCAAAGGCCCTGTGGCAGAGACAGCAGGGCGGTTTTAAAGAAGGGGAGGGGTAGACTTAACCGCGGCCCTATTTGTCTTCTCCGGCTCTGCTCACGGCCTGGGGGTGCTGCGGCGTCACCTGCTGCTCGGCCACCAACGCTTGTCCCCCGCTGGCTCTCCCTAACACCCAGGCTTGCGCCGCCAGCCAGGGTCTCCCCTGGGCCACCAAGCAGCCCTGGGAGCCTTCAGCTCACCGCAGTTGGCCTGGGAGGTGGAGGCGCAACACGCCCCCAAACGAGAGGGGGAGCACGAGGAACCCAGGCGCGAAGGAGAGGCGAGGGGGAGGGGACGGGAAGGGGAGGGGAGGGGAGGGGAGGGGAGGGGGAGGGGGAGGCGCAGCTGCTGGCGGCGCAGGTGCCTTCGCCCGGCGAGAACACGCCGCCGCCGCGCCCCCGCCCCCCGCGCCCCGCCGCCCCCGTCGTGCCCCCCGCAGTTGCCCTGAGCGCTCCTGGGGGCCTGTTCAGCCTCCACGTGCCGCCGACCCCGGCCTCGGGGCCCAGCCTCCCCGGGACCGTCCCCTCCCCGGAGCTGCCCCCGTTCCCCAAGGGCCCGGGGCACGCCGGCTGGGTGCAACCTGGGCCTCGCCGGGCGCGTCTGTAGAATGGGCGACAGCGAGCGGAGCGCTGTCCCCCCCAAGGCCGCACCTGCCCTCGCCCGCCCGGGAGCGCGGACCCCCACCCACCCCTCAAAGGGAGGAGGGGCTGCGTAGGCCAGAGCCCCAAAAAAGAGAGCCGGGACGCTCGGTTGAGGCACCGCTGGGATTCGAACCCAGGATCTCCTGTTTACTAGACAGGCGCTTTAACCAACTAAGCCACGGCGCCGCCCGCACGGGTACCGCGAGAATCTGCTCCCCATTACCATGGATTCCGCGCCATCGGCCGTGCGCATGCGCGGGAGCTGGGGGGGGCAGCCGGCGCATGCGCGGTGGCCGGCCCGGCTCCCACCCGCGGCTGCGCGGGGCCCCGGCGGGCTGGTGTCGGCGCCCCGCTGGCGTCTCCTCCCGGACGCCGAGCCGCGGAGGCCGCTCTCCGGGGAGGCGCGCGAGATCGCGCCTTCCGCCCTCCACACCTGGCGCGGGAAGCCCCGCAGGCTGTCCGGTCGGTCGGCGCGCGCATCCCGCCGCGGCCCCGCCGGAGCTCGCAGCAGCCCCCGCGCCCGCAGCTCGGGGGGGCGGCCCTGCCCGCCCCGGGCGCCCTCGGCCCTCGGTTGTGCCGCTGCTCCCGCTCCCGGCTCCCCGCCGGCTGCTTCTGGGCGCCCCCCCCCCCGCCCCGACACCTGCGAGGGCGCCTGTGAGCAGCAGCGGGGCCTCGGGGGGGCGCCTCGGCCACGGAAACGTAAGTCTCGGCAGGTGTGTGTGTGCAACCTTCCTGGACACACAGCTTCCAGGTTGCACACACCTGTCCAGCATCACCTGTCGTAGCAAGACCCCGAGAAGCGACCCGTGTGCCCATCAGTGGGGCCGCGGGGGGACCTGCAGCGCGGCCGTGCCCCGCAGCGGGGTGGGGGGCGGGACACACCTGTGCGCGTCCTGGGGTGGAGGACACACCTGTGCGCGTCCTGGGGGGATGGGGGACACACCTGTGCGCGTCCTGGGGTGAGGGGGACACACCTGTGCGCGTCCTGGGGGATGGGGGACACACCTGTGCGCGTCCTGGGGGGGTGGGGGAGGAGGGCACATCTGTGCGTGTCCGGGGGGAGGGGGACACATCTGTGCGTGTCCTGGGGGATGGGGACACACCTGTGCGCGTCCTGGGGGGGTGGGGGGAGGAGGGCACATCTGTGCGTGTCCGGGGGGGAGGGGGACACATCTGTGCGTGTCCTGGGGGGGTAGGGGGGGACCACTTAGCCCCAGGGCATGTCATTGAAAGAGAAGTTGCTGGGAGGGCGCCAAGTGGAGCTTCCACCGGTTCCCCCCTCGCAGGTGAAGCGCTGAAGCGGCGACACACGGACCCGCAGCTCCAGCCTGAGCGGCCAGACCCCAGGGCTGGGGCCGGGTGAGGGCCTCGGGAGCCCTGCCCACGGCCAGAGCCCGCGGAGGCCCACGCGCTGACGGGACATCAGGCCTGCAGTTAAGCCCGATGGGGCTTAACCAAACCGAGGCCCGAGCTAAGTCATGGAGCCGAAGCGGGTGGGAAAGGGAGGCCCCCCCAACCTGAGACCTCTGTCCCTCTGGGCCACTCAGGGTGTGGTGTGGTGGGCTCTGGAAGCGGGAAGGGGGCCGTACCCCTGTCTGGGCCTTCTGGAAAGGGGAAAGCCTGCGGTGGAGAGCCCGAAGCCTCCTGTGATGGAAATGCCCTCGGCCCCGCTGCCTCACCAGACCTCCCTCTGCTCAGCCCCCTGGCACCGGGGAGCCTTAGCCGGGGAGGTGCCCGCGCATCTTCCTGCCCAGTTGATGAGCCCCATCAACCGAGGAGCCTTACAGGGCAACACTGAGACGGAGTGAACGCCGGGACACAAGGCTTAGACGGAGCAAAAAGCCTTCTAGAATTCACAGGCACGCTTGTTTTCGAAAGGAATCTAGATATTTATTCTGCGTGAAAACTAACAACAAGGTGTGTGACTCCCCAGCGCGCTGTGGAGCTGACGCTGTGCCCCAGTGTGACCGCCCACCTCCGGGGCCAGGGCAGGGGCCTTAGCCAGAGGTCCCTGCGTGACAGGTCACCTTACTCAAGCCAGCCAGCAGGCGCAATGGCCGTCAGTCGTCTGTGCCCAGGCTGCACTCCCTTGACCGTGTATCTTCCCCTCCTGAGGATGATGACAAGGCTTCTGCTGACAAGGCTTCTGCTGACAAGTCCTTCTCGCTCATTCGGCAGAACACACATTTGGTGACTGTTTCAGAAAAGATGTCACTTTCGTAGGTGGAGAAAGGCTTTTCACATACTTCACACTGACATGAAATATTTAAAAAAGAGCAAAAAGCAAGTGCTGGTCAGAGGGGACCAAGGCATCCAGGGTAGAGTGCTCCCTCCAGATCCGACCACCTGGGGTTGGGTCAGAGCAAGCGCTGCCCTCCTCCCTGTGGTCTCTAACCCCACAAGGGTGGAGCTTGCGGACCCCTGGGAACGACCTCTGGGAACCACCCTGGGCCTCCCCGATGCCCCCCCCCCCCCCGCAGAAGCTGTGCAGATACTGCAGCAGCTCATCCCCTGCTATGGGAAGCCTGGGGCAGGAGTGGGAGCCACTTGACAGTGGAGAGGACGGGGGTGAGTGTCCGACCCCACCCTCTGTCCTTTGTAGAGCACAGCTGTGGGCCCTGAGGGGCTCTCCTAATTCCACCACAATGGCCTGGGGACCTAACTTACAGAACCAAGAGAAGCAAGTAGGCGAGATTTCTAAACAGAGCAGTAATTGCTATTAGATGCTGAAGGTGCTGAGCATCCTCCTCCCTCTCAGCCTGTTTCTGGCCAAGGCACACAGAGCAGTGCATACAGTGGCACAGCTCACCCACCATATCTGCTTCCCACAAACAAGTGAGCAATACCACGGGGAGGGGGGCTCTCAGGCCATGAGCAGAGGGCTTGGGGATACTCACCACAGCACCATCCCCCTGCAAGATGGCATGCCCTGCTCTGGCACACCAGGCCCCTGTGCTTTGCCCCCTTTGCCCACTCAGGGCACTGAGGCCTGTAGGAGAGGCAGCCACACACAACCCAGGGCAGGCCCTCTGGGAAATCAGGCTTTGAGGTTTCTTATATTGATTTTGAGCAAGACAAATGTGGAGGGATCATCTTTGGAACAGTTTCAAGTATGTCTCTTTCTTTGTTTTGCAAGAAAGAAATCTGGTCCTTACCTACCTTATCCTATGGCATAATTTCCCGTGACCCAACCCCAAAACGGCAGGGCCCAGAAGAGGCAGTGCATGGGGGCCCTGTTCCAGGTGGCAGGTGGAGGACATGGACAAGCACTGCTCTGTAGCTAGTCAGCTTCTAGGGCCTAAGGACCCACATGGCCACACAGGCCATGAGGACCAGCTGGCCACAAAGACAAGGTCCATGTTGGTCCCTCCCCTCATATCCCTGCCCTACAGTGCTGTTCCAAATTAGCCATTTCCAGCAGTAGCTCCCAGCTGGGCCTTCTAAGAAGAGAACCTAGGTGGTTCCAGGGAAGGAGGACTGCGAGGACCCAGCATAGACTCCTCAAGCCTCTCAAGGTGCAGCCAAGTGTCTATACCACAAGGCCCTCATAGGGACTGGCCTTCAGTACCCAGGGATGGACTCTATGGCCAGCCGTGGCTATACCTGGTGAACCAGATGTGCCCACCCTACCACCACCACCCTCTGCTAGAGAAAAACAGGTACCTGGGCCACTTCCATGGGAAGGCACTGGGGGCCTGGCCAGGGGGTCTCCTGAAGTGGCAGAAGCTAATATCATGTCCAACTGTGTGCCTCGCTATGCTCCTCTGACTCACTTCACTGCTCAGACACCCCAAGAGAGCTCCTGCCTCAGAGTCTCCACACAGAGGGCTTTCCCGCTGCTGGGAAGGCCTTTCCAAAACACCTGCACAGCTCACTCCCTCACCACTTCAGGTCTTTAACAAAAGCTACCTTCTCGGTAAGACCTATCCTGACCACCCTTTCAAGTGTCACCAGCAGGGACCCTGGGTGGCTCAGTGGGTTGAGTGGCTGGACTCTTGATTTCAGCTCAGGTCTTGATCTCAGAGTCCTGGAATCAAGTCCCACCCTCAGTGGGGGGTCTGCTGGAGGATTCTCTCTCCCTCTGCCCACACACGCTCTTTCTCTCTCTCTCTCAAATAAATAATGTGTCACCAACATTCCCACCCATTCCCTTTCCCCCTGTTCTTTTTCTCCAAATTATTTATTGCCGTGTGATGCACTATTTATTTTTCTGGCTTCTTTGTTCATGGTCTCCTCTTTTAGAACCTAAGTTCCCTCAGGGTAAGAATTTCAATCTGTTTGTTCATGGTTTTTATCCCCAGCTGCCCAATAAATGTTCAAAGAATAAATTAATTTGTGGAGGAAACTAATGAAAGCCTTCATTGAGCTTAATACTACCCAGTACTAACCTGTTTCACCTTTAAGCCCAGGGCCTTTTTGTACTTGATTACCATAGGAATTTGGTCAATTTCTTCAATATTCCACAGTCTCACCGTCCTGTCCTAAAACAAATTAAACAGCAAAGCAGCAGTCACCAAATAGGCTTCTTCAGCCAGGAGGCCCTAGGGAGGTGCATCGCATCCAGGTTCCCGTGTGAAGAACCTCACCCTGCAGAGGAGCAGAATTAGGGTGAGCAACTGTCCTGGTTTGTCCAGGACCACCGTGCCTTTAGTACAAGTCCCACATCCCCGCAAACCCATTCCAGGATGCATAAAGTCCCGCTTGTCAGCAATGGATGTGGAAGTCTGAGGGGAAAGCACAAAACCCATACAGTGGCCCCCAAAAGAGGAGCCAAGAGCAAAACTATTTTTAATGACAAGTGGATATGCGTAGACAGATGATTCGCCTTCCGTAGTTGCTGCCACTTTTCCATGCCTTGCAGTTCATGTTAAGTTCCCAAAACTGGGCCATCCGTTACTGTGATTCACCCCCACTTGATGTGATTTAAGCATTCCATGTGACTGCATTGTGTTAACACAAGTGTTAACAGTCTGCCTTTGATTTTACCTGTGCAACTGTTGTGCTTTGTTTCAAGATATTGCTAGTAAAATGTTTATCATTGTGAATATTATGATTGTGTTTTCTAAGAGTTCAGGTCATGAAAGTAAGAATAATTACAAGACCAATGCCAGCATGGCACAGACATCACCAGCAGAGGCTAAACAGCTGTGTTTAATGACAGCTGGACAAAGCTAGAGTAGGGGCAGGGGGTGGGGTGGTAAATAACCAGAACACATCCTACTGCAGGATATGAGGAAAAGAATTTGGAATTGGGTATGGTGGAGACGAGAATGAGTCTCACAAGCCTGGTATGAGATGGGCAAATTCTAAATCAGTTTTTTCATATCCCAAAAAGACACCAATGTGAAAGAAAATGAAATGTGAGCCATCCAGATTGGAAAAAAAGTAAAACTATTTGAAGATTACTTAACTTTGTATAATAGAGAATCACAAAGAATCAACTAAAAACCTATTAGAAGTAACAAGTAAGTTCAGTAGAGTTGCAGGACACAAAACCAAGACACAAAAATCTATTGTATTTTTATATACTTGCAATGAACAATCTGAAAGCGCAATTTAAGCAATTGCATTTAGAATAGCATTAAAAAGAAAATGTTTAGTGATGATTTAACAAAGGAAGTGCAAAAATTAGACCAAAAACTAAAAATATATTGTTGAAAGAAACTAAAGATGTGAATGAACAGAAAGAGATCTCATGTTCAATAGATCAGAGAACGTAATATTGCTAAGATGACAATAATCCACAAAATGTTCTATAGATTCAGCACAATCTTTATGAAAATCCCAGATGACTTCTTTGCAGAAATAAACAAACTGATCTTAAAATTTATATGGATATTCAGGGGAGTCAGAATAGCCAAATTAGTCTGGAACAAGAAAAATGATATTGGAGGATATACACTTCCTTATTTCAAAACTTACTACAAAGCTGTAGTTATCAAGATAGTGTAGACACAGTTCTAAAGAATTGAGAAACTAAAAATAAAACTTTTCATTTATGGTCAGGTGGATTTTTGACAGGGGTGCCAAGAGCTAAAACTATGAAACTCTTAGAAGAATACTTAGGAGTAAATGTTGGTGACTCAGGATAAAACAGTGGTTCCTTTGACCTGACACCAAAAGCACAGGCAACAAAAGAAAATATAGAAAAATTGGATTTTCCCAAAGTTAAAAACTTGTGATTCAAAGGATATGCATCAAGAAAGTGAAGATCTATAAATGGCCGATAATTACATAAAAAGATGCTCAACATATTAGCCATCAGAGAAATGCGAATTAAAACAAGATACAATTTCACAACCATTAGGATGACTAAAGTAAAAAAGAAAATAACAAGACTGGAGAGGCTGTGGAGAAGTTGGAACCCTCCTGCATACTGGTGGGAAAATGAAAGAGTTCAGCACTTTGGAAGACAATCTGGCGGTTCCTGAAGTGAGTAAACATACAGAGTTACCATTGTGACCCAGCCGCTCCACTTCTCAGTACATACCCAAAAGAATAAAACACAGGTGTTCAAACAAAAACTTGTTCACAGGCAGCCCGGGTGGCTCAGCGGTTTAGCGCCGCCTTCGGCCCAGGGCCTGATCCTGGGGCCTTGGGATCGAGTCCCATGTACAGCTCCCTGCATGGAGCCAGCTTCTCCCTCTGCCTGTGTCTCTGCCTCTCTCTCTATGTCTATGATGATGAATAAATAAGTAAACTGCTTCTTGCTATAGAAAAATTAAAAAAAAAACTTGTTCACAAACATTCATACCACTATTGTTTACCATAGCCAGGTGGTGAAAAGAACTATGGATAAAGTGTGATATATCCGTATAATGGAATATGATTCAGCAGTTAAATAAATTACAGCATAAATAAATCTTGAAAACACTATGCTAAGTGAAATAAACCAGTCACAAAGGGCCATATATTGTATGATTACATTTAAGTGAAAGGTCCATAATGGGAAAAATCGGAAGCAATAATAGAATAAATGAATAAAAACTAAAACAAAGGGCACCTGGGTGTCTCAGTCAGTTAGGCATCTGCCTTCAGCTCAGGGCAGGGTATCAAGGTCCTGGAATTGAGCCCCACATCAGGCTCCCTGCTCTGCAGGGAGTCAGCTTTCTTTCTTCCTCCCTCTGTCCCCACCCCTGCTTGTTTTCTGTCTCTCTCGTAAAATCAAATCTTAAAAAAAAAAAAAAACCACTAAAACAAAAATAGATTAGTGTTCCTAGGTAACATAATAAGACCAAAAAAAGGAAGTAAAAGATAAACAGTTTGGGAAAGAAGAAATAAAACTCTTTGCTCACAGATGACATGATGGTCTATGTAGAAAATCCAAAAGAATTAACTACAAAAAAAGTCTTATAATTAATAAGTGATTACAACAGGGTTGCAGGATACACAGGTTAATGTACAAAATATATATACAAAATACACATATGTGCATATGTACAATACATACAAAATAATATACAAAAGTCTATTGACTTTCCCATATACCAGCAATGAACAGTGGGAACTTCACATTAAAAACACACTAGTATTTACACACACCCCCAAATGAAGTACTTAGGTTTATATCTAACAAAATACTTGTAAGATGTATATGAGGAAAACTATAAAACTCTTCATGAATACGAAGATTGATTATTGTCAAGCTGTCCGTTCTTCCTAACTTGATCTATGGATTCAGTGAAATCCCAATCAAAATCCCAGCAGGTTATTTTGTGGATATCGACAAACTGCTTCTAAAGTTTTTATGAAAAGGGAAAAGAGGGATCCCTGGGTGGCGCAGCGGTTTGGCAACTGCCTTTGGCCCAGGGCGTGATCCTGGAGACCCGGGATCGAATCCCACGTCGGGCTCCCGGTGCATGGAGCCTGTGTCTCTGTCTCTCTCTGTCTCTCTCTGTCTCTCTCTCTCTCTCTCTCTCTCTCTCTCTCTCTCTCTCTCGCTGTGACTATCATAAATAAATAAATAAAAAATAAAAGAAAAGGGAAAAGATCCAGAATAGGCCAATATAATGATGAAGACGGGAACAAAGTTGGAGGCTGACACTATCCAGCTTCAAGATTTACTGTAAAGCTACAGTTATCAAGACACTATGGTAGGGCAGCCCGGGTGGCTCAGCAGTTTAGCGCCGCCTTCGGCCTAGGGCCTGATCCTGGAGACGTGGGATCGAGTCCCACATCGGGCTCCCTGCATGGACCCTGATTCTCCCTCTGCCTGTGTCTCTGTCTCTGTCTCTCTCTCTCTGTGTCTCTTATGAATAAATAAAATCTTAAAAAAAAAAGACACTATGGTATTGGTGAAAGAACAGAGAGATCATTGGCACAGAATGGAGAGCCCAGCAATAGACCCACATAAATATAATCAACAAAAGAGCAGAGGAAATACAATGGAAGAATTATAGTTTTTTCAACAAATGGTGCTGGAAAAACTGAACATTCATGTGCAAAAAAAAAAGTCTAGGCACAGACTTTACTTACATCCTTCACAAAAATTAACTCAAAATGGGTCACAGACCAAAATGCAAATTTATAAAACTCCTAGACCATAACATAGGAAAAAATCTAGATGACCTTGGGTTTGATGATGACTTTTAGATGTAATATCAAAGACATGATCCATGAAAGAATCAATAAGCTAAACTTCATTAAAATTAAAATTTTCTGCTCTGCAAGACACTATGTTCTGCTCTGCTACACACTGAGAGTATTTGCAAAAGACATAGCTGATAAAGGCCTATTATCAAAAAATCTAAAAAAAAAATCTATAAAGAACTCTTAAAACTTGACAATAAGAAAACAAAGAACCCCGTTAAAAAATAGACCAAAGATCTTAACAGGCCCTCCGCCAAAAAAAAAAGGCATATAGATGGCAAATACACATGTGAAAGATGTTCCACATCCTATGTCAGCAGGGATTCACAAATTAAAATGATGCCTCTAAACACCTGTTATAATGGCCAAAATCGGGAACATGGACAACGATAGTGCTAATGAACATGCGGAGCAACAAGAACTCTTATTCACTGCTGATGGGAATGCAAAATGGTAGAGCCACTTGGCTTTCCTGCAAAACTAAACATACTCTTACCATACACTCAAGCAATCAAACTCCTCGATGTTGTCTAAGGGAGTTTAAAACTTATGTCCAAACAAAAACCTCCGCAAGCATGGTTATAGCAGCTTTACTCACAACTGCCAAAAGGCGGAAGCAACCGAGATGTCCTTCCGTAGAAGAATGGATAAACTGTGGTACAACTGGACAATGGACTGTTATTCAATGCTAAAAAGAGCTATTAAGCCATGAAAAGACACAGAAGAACCTTAAATGCGTATTACTAAGTCCAAGAATCAATCTGGAAAAGTCCATACACTATATGGGTTCAGCTGTATAACATTTTGGAAAAGGTAAAACTATGGAGACAGTAAAAAAGATCAGTGATTTCCAGGGTTTTGGGGAGGGAGGGATGACCAGGTGGGACACGGG